TTTTGAGAACAGGCCACAAAAGGGATTTTTAACGAACAGGGTAACAAGGAAGTTTATTGTCAACAAGGCCAACAATAGTTTCCTTCTTCGGGAATCTTTGGAAAAAGAGGTTACATTCGAGTTTAACCGTGAAACAAAGGTTTTTACATTCAGTTGGGGACTGACCGAAGGGTGAAGAGATTAAAATGCAAGGAAACAGGAGGACACAGTGATTTTTAGAGTCCAAGGGAATAATTTAATTTTCATGCGTGGCGGATCAGCTGAAACTCTTTGTGTAACATCTGACTTTTTTAATCATTATCTCTACAGATTCGGTTAGACTGCATCACAGGTTAATTTTACGACCAACGATGCCTCGTTTGCTGACGTTTTGTTTTCTTGCAATGATTTTTGGAGGCACAGGTAAGTTTGATGATTTATTAGCCCAATAATTTATTATTGATGCTCCTGTGCACGCCCCGCTTCCATTCATACAATGGCCGTCGTGTTCTACACTTTTAACTCTTATCTATGTCCCAGCGCCTTTTTATGATTTAAGTAAGCAGTAGCTGTGAAAATGAGCATATTCGGTTTAAGCCCACAGGTGATCAAAATGTAATTTCTCATTGCCATACCGACATATGGACTACAGCCGATCAAACAGACCCGAGATAAGAAAATAGGTTTCTATCATACAATGTGGTAATGCTCTGATCTACTACCTAATTCCTCGGTAGAACTACAGTTAAGAGTAAGGTGTGGCAGCTAGCCAGTTAGAAGGCTTCAAGTTTTCAGCATACAAATAATAGATTATTTCCGCGAGTTGCCTTTTGCCTGCTTCAATTCGAGTCTTTTCATGTACAGAAGAGTTTGATTTGTATGAAAATAAGAGTGCAGAGGAATCGAACTTTCATAACAATGGTTTTGCACGAAAACTCGTTTTGACACAGAGGCAAAAGGCAACTCGGAAATGGCCCATTATTAAAAACTGAAAGAAATGATGCTAGTCTTTAATTCTTCCTTCCTGTACATGCTTGATCCCTTTAGTTTACGCACATTTTTGACTCAGGCTCTCAACGAAAACAAAATAGTCATAACAAATTAACAAAGATCACGATTAATTTTTATTCTGTAATATTCTCTGTACTTTCAGGGGCATTATACTTTCGCCGAATTTGTGAAGGCAAGTCGTTGACAATTAATTGCGGCGCAAGGGTTATCGATATTCTGAGTGCATCGTACGGACGGACTCAGCAGGGGTTGTGTGGACGTAAAGGAAACACAAACTGCCGTGCTGGAACTTCAATGAGGGTGGCTAGGTTTGAGTGCCAACAACAGCACAGATGTGTTCTGTACGCTAAAAACTCAGCATTTGGAGACCCGTGTAAAGGCACCGCTAAATATCTGCAGGTACGCTCAGAATTGAATTGTTAGGGAGCTAAAGCAATGACGACGGCGACCCCGAGGACAACGCCTAGTAAAAAATGAATTTATATTTTATCTTCGCATTTAGCAATTGTCTAGATCTATTCAATAGGTCTCAGAACTTGCTCAAACTAAATATGTAACGCCAGCGTTCAATCTCATATGAAAATACGAAAAATTAGCCTCCGTGGTTCGCGTACTCTCCAAAATACTTGGAACTAAGTCATTTTACGTTGTTGTTGTTGTTGTTGTTGTGCAGAGAGCGGCTAAGAAATTTACAAAGACTTATAACGCACGTGAAGTTAGAAACTGTTTGGTGGCGTTGTCGCTGCCGTTGCCCTCGTGGTTTGCTTAAGGTCTCTAATTTTTTACAAAACATTATTTTTGAGCTTTTTAGAGGCTTGTGCCATCATTTGCCTAGTACAGTAAAGTCAAACGAGTCTCTTATTCCACCGAATAACACCGAAGTTTCTTGATAAGAGGGTTTTCAAAAGAACGAAGTCTATGACAAACGGCGAAGGGCAAAGACGCTACAAATATTATCATTTTAACGTACACAGAACGTCTAATAAAAACGGCTAATGTTCAGTTCTCACTGTTTGCCGTTTGTAGGCGTCTGTAAACGTCTCTTATAGATTATTAGCTTATTGGGAAGCTTCGTCTTGACTTTCGCATGGAATAAGCGAACAAGGCCGCGTGACGAGTCGAAACGACAAACATTTCTCAGGTATTTCTCGCTATCTTGATATTGTGTGCAGGTAAGATAAATAAGGTCAACTTACCTTCAATACTCCTGTTCCGAAGGCTGCTTCAAGACTTCTCGTTTGACAGCAAAGCATTTAAACTTTTTAAGTTCATGTCCGGTTTTAGTGAACTGTTTTCGATGTGAGACATACGCGAGTGCAAACTCTGACGCGTGTTGCCTTGCTTTTTAGCGCGAAAATTAATAGGCTTCCTTTTACCTTATAAGGTTTACCCTAAAACCAGAAGCTAAAGTTTCCGCTTAACAGTGTAATCATTAACATAGGGAATTAAAACCGGTTAAAACCAAAGAAAACTACAAGTAAACAAACATGAAATTAAAACATGCCGACTAGATAGATAATAAAACTGAGATGTTGTCGCGTGATCTGCAAAGGCTAAATCTGACAAATTCTTTATATTCACGGTTATTGTATCATTGCCAACTAACAGGTAACATACCAATGTGTGCACACAACCAGACCAGAAGTCCTGCTTCGGATTTGCGAGGGTCTTTCACGCTCAGTCCGTTGTTACCGGGGGAAGAAGATCAACATCATTGAGGCCAACTATGGTCGTTTGACCGGAGGACAAATCTGTCCAGGACCAATCAAGACAACATACTGCGGAGCTGCTCGGTCGCAGGCTAAAGTGAGAACGGCATGCCAAGGAAAACCACAATGTGTCTTGCAGGCGAAAAACAACATTTATGGTGACCCCTGTCGTGGTACAAAGAAGTATCTGGAGGTAGGAATTATTCAGTTCAAATTATTTCTTTTAGATTGTATATTTCTTCTTCTCAGTATATCCCTTCATATGTTATAGTTTTTTTTCGTTGGCATTCTTTTTTTTAACTTATTTGTGAGAATTTGTCCTTTTTCATGTTCCATTCCCCTTCTCCGCTGTCGAAAGCCCCCACCCAAACATCCTCCTCTTCATTTCAAACTTTATAAGATGAAGAACTTGGAAGCAGAAACTCCGAGATACCATAGTACGTCATGTTGGTTGGAATAATATATCACTAAGATGCCTCGTGCTTTTTAACAGGATTTGGTTTCTTTGCAGAGATTTAAAAGCACCGAGGAAATTCAAGTAAGACTAATCTCCCACTTTATTCCTTTTGGCTACAGGTCAGATACAGTTGTTACTGACACAACATGGTCTAACGCGCGTCAACTGACAGGAAGTATAGTTAAAAATAAAAGATCAAATGTACCTTGTAGTTTTCCAGGAATACAATCAATAAACTACTCGTTGACGCTGGCTATTGCCCCTGTTACTCAATTATTTTAATTCTCTACCCTAAGTGTGACATGTTTGTTTCCAGGGAGGGGGACTCTCATGTAAAAAGGAGGGAGGTGCTCGTCGGAAATTTTAAAAAGAACCCCTAAGAGTTACAACACATTTTCTCCTGTCATATACGTCATAATTTTTTTTCAGCTCATTATGCCCTAAAAGGTACCTTAAAAAATCCCGCTGTGAGCCTTTTGAGGCTGAGCACCCTAAGAGGTATTCAAATGCTTTTTACTCCCTAAAGGGGACGACGAACACCCGGTCCTTTTCACATGAGAGTCCCCATAGGAGCTTTTTCGTCGAATTCTGTCCTACATCAAGACAAGCTCGGCAAGTTACCGATTTCAACAATTCCAATTAACAGTCTTC